ATATAAAAAATATAAGAATTGTTCTAGAAATCAATTTTTCATGAGACAAGAATTAAATTTCAATTTATTTTTCAGTAGCATCCAAATATGTCTCACTGTCTTTAATGATGAAAATTCAACTATATTCCAAGATCTTTGCCAAGATCTCAAGGTTCTCATCATCATAACTTCTTCTTGAGGACCTTAGACTGAGAAATAACAATCAAGTCTGGATAGTAATCAGTCCTAGCCCAATGCTGTAAGCATTGTATCACATACCCCTATAACCTTGATTTTGCCACTTTGGCAATGCCTCCATATTCTACCATATCCAAGTGGGTAAAATACCAATAGGGCCCACCAGGTATTCTAGATTTCTAAACTCATAGAAGCACAATCCTATAGAATTCAGTATATTTCAGACTGGATCCTATAGAATTGTGTTTATATGAGTGTAGAAATCTAGAATTAAGTTTTATTTAATTAAATGGAACTTTAATTGTAGAAATCTAGAAATAAAGTGTAAAAATATAAAGTCTGATTTAATTAAATGGAATTTAATTCCAGTTTAACAGTCTTCCTTATTCTTCTCCATCCTTCAGATATGTTCAACTACAAACACCATTATCCCTAGTAGGACTGTGCCTGCTTTTAAGATGATTGGAAGGGGTGCTTCAGAATGTGCCAGAAGGCCAACGCAGCAGTTTTTGAAAGCTGCTGTACCATTTTTCAGGCTTGTGTGAAAACCCAAAATAGTTGTTGTTATTTATACTTATATAACATAGCGGGAAAATTACAGAGAATCCTCTCTTTTCTAGAATGACAGAAAGAATTGGCTTCTTCTTGGCTTCTGACCAAGGACACTGGAAATGGGAATGGGGGAAAGGATGGCTCTTTTCCAACTTTCCTGGACATATTTTCCAATAGACATAGCTGGGAAGGAAAAGTATGCATCCTCCAGACTCTTCTTCACTTTCCATACTCTTCTCACTTTCCACAGTTAATTTACTGGTCCAAACTGGTGTCAAGTGGTTGTGTAAGTGTGAGTTGCTGCTGCCAGTTAGAGGGTTAATGAGAATTGACTGGAGTCTGTACCAACAGCAAAAATACCAGCTAACAACAGCTACACAATTAACAACAGTTAAGGCTAGGCTGAAAATAGTTATAAATGATAAAGTAGAAGACCTTCCCTCTGAGTTTGAAGATCAGGCCCAGTTTGGATTGCAGACTGACTTTGATGCCAGAAGCCTGCCAGAGAGCTTGAGCAATTGGGGATAAGTCTGCATAGCCTGGAGAGACTGCAACAGGGTGTGGGTTGGAGGATGGAGGCAGCCATCATGTGCCAATGGCAGGGACAGTGGCAAAGCTGGGTGAGACTGGTCACATCCTGGAGAGGTCTCAGAAGCTAAAGAGGAGATGCTAAGAAACTGGAACTCTAAAGACAGAAGTCATAATGATGTGGGCCCCAGGCAAATTATAGTTTTTAGAGGGACGTGGGAATCATCAGCCAGAGTCTGACTTACTGATGTAGTAGAGGATTGTGGGACTAGACTGGAGTTATCACTCCTTTCCTAGATTGCTTCAGGTTCTAGACCAAAGGAGAGAAGGAAAATCAAGTGGAAGAAGAAGAGATTGATGAAAGAGCTGTTTCAAGGTGGAAAACTGAGGAAAAACACCCCTTCCCTGGAATGAAAAACAGAGAGGGCAGATTCTTGACCCCTACTAACCCACTGGGTGAATTCAGTATGTGGTCAGTGGTGTGGGTTGTTTGGGAAGATAAGATGGCCATTGTGTGGCTGGAATTGGGAAAAGAAGGGTTATTATTTTTTGAGTTGAGGGGTGTGACCGGAAGCTATCTGGGATAGTGGGGGGAGATTTGATTTGGAAGGGATAAAAATGGAGGGAAGAATAACAGTAATGATTGGCAAGGGAAAATATGTCAAGACTGGGGGGCGGGGAGGGGAACTGTTCCAGGAAAGAGGACTTAAGTCTCAACTTGGAAGCCAGGCAACCAGATTGCTGAGTGCTTTGGGCCCAGGGTGATGCTACTGAATGCCAGATGTCTATAATAAAACTAGCTCATCCATGATTTAATTGTAGGCAAAACGATAAATCTGGCATGTATCACTCAGATTGGCTCGCTAAAAGGGGTATGTTCCCCTTGCAGATATCTGTCCAGCCAGGTTTCATGCTTTAACTCATGTCTGACCCCAAGGCAGGGCAGGGCAGAGCAGACTCTGGGGCAACTGTTTATCAGAAGACCCTAGCTGTTGCTAAGAATGCTGTTCTGTAAGTGTCCAGATATGAGGACTTCTCCAAAGGTACAAGTCAAGAATGATGCTATTGTACTGTCCTCCCAGGCACTATGGCAGCATCCCTCACCCAGCTGTTTCATCTTATTGCAGGGATAGTTGTAGATTCACCCAATCTGCTAATACTAGGTGATTTCAAACCCCATCCTAGGGAATGACTTGAAGGTAGGAGGAAGAGCTGTTACCAAGGCAACAGTCAGATAAGTGGGACTTGAGCCCATTCCAAGAAACTTACTTGAGAAAACATCTCAGAGAGGCTCCTCCCTAGTTTACACAAAAATAAAGTGAGGAGGGGAGAAGCACATTCAGACTCGTAAGATTCTGTTACTATAGCTGTTACAATAAAAGTATCTTGACCTATATTTTTTCTTAGCTTGGTCTATCTTATAGGGCTGACACATCCCTGGGATCTGAGGTGGCTTGGGAATTCATGGCTGCCATGACAACCACGGGCTTGTCCCAGGTCATCACTGACGTGATGCACATGTTAGATTTGGCATTAACTTAGAGCAAACATGTCATGATATGGATCTGGATTATTTTTCTGTCAGTCCACAGTCAGGGACATATCACTTCCTTGTGATGATGGAATTAACTTGTGTTACCAACCTTTGCAGGGAGGAGGAGCCCATTAAGGACTCCAATGGATTCAGCAGGTTTCCTGATGGCACTTGGGGAGTTTCCCAGTGATATGGACAGCAATTCTGATGGGCACCTTGTTGACCTCTGGAATACAGAGGCAACCAGGGCACTCCACAGGATTGCCCCTAAGCAGCCTCTCCCCATCTGCTGATCCCACACAGCTCTTTGATTTACTGAGGAACTCTGAGAAATGAAGCAGTTGAAGAGACAACTAGAGTGACACTGACAAAAAAAAAAAGAAGTGAATGTGACGAGATGTAAGCCTCCTCTGTGAGAATAAAGGTGGTAAAACATCTCCACTCTTTTTGCATTTGCAGACTGTCAGAAAACTGCACTGTTCAAAGTGTCCTGGATCTTTAAGGGGAAAGATGGGCTGGAAGATCCAATCAGTATGAGTTGTTATCATCTGGTTAAACATTTCATAAAATTGCTCACATGCACTCTGAGTTGGAAGCCAAATGGACAGAATATATTCAGGTTACAGAAGTGGTATCTTGTGGTGTAATCTGGGAGGCTTTTGAGTTTGTGGATCGAAATGAAGTGGACAGAGTCCTCTGCAATCTTGGCTCCACCACTTGTGGACTGGACCCCTGCCCCATCTTGCAAATAAAAGTAGCAAGAAAGGGGACTGACAGCTGGATTCAAACTGTAAAAAATGACTCTTTGAGGGAAGTTAAGATGCCAGAGGCCCTTAAAAAGGCACTGGTTCACCCATTCCACAAAAGACCAGGTATAAATCCAACAAAACTACTGTCCTAGGTTATTGAGAAAATGGCAGAACTGCATTTTCAGAACACTCTAAAGGATATGGATAATCTGGTTCTTTGGCTGTCTAGATTCAGATCTGGGCATGTGATGGAAATCACATTGGTCACTGTCATGGATAACCTATGGTGAGCCTTGGATGGAAGTGGTTTGACTATCCTTGCCCTCTTAGATCTCTCAGTAGGTTACAGTACTATCAGCCACAGTACCCTTCTGGACCACCTGTAAAGGTTGGAAGCTGGGACATGGTAGTTGTGGAAGGATGTAATAGTATGTGGGAATGACCTTGGGAGAAAGGGAGAAGAGCCACAGCCAGGGGGACAGGCAGCTGTTCCCAGAGCCAGGGGAAAAGGCAGCTTAGCCCACAAAAGGAATGTGGGCATGGCAAATATCTCAGAAGGAACCCTTCCTAGTTTCTTGGGCTGTAAGGTGATGGGGGAGAAATGTACTTTCAGACTTGCCAGATTCTGTTAATGTAACCTTACAATAAAGTAGAATTAGCTCGTCTGGGCATGCTTCCTGTCTGGACCATCTTGCAAGGCTGACGGGGCAAGAGGTTGTACTCACAAGCATT